TTCATTTAAGCATTCATAAAATAATTCTGTTCTTATGCTTTAAACTAATGCATAAATTGTATCCTTTTCTGTGTTCCCTAAAAATTGCTTTTATATGGAGCCATTTTGAGATTTATCAGTGCTGATACGTGGAGCTCTACAGTGCATTCGTTTTAATTATAATGGCATTATATAGGGCATTTACTTAGATAGAAAAAACAAAATTTACTTACTCGTTCCCTTCTTGCTGGACATTTAGGCTGTGTGCAATTTGTTACAATTACAAATATAATTATATATTTTTCCTTTTGCTAGAACTTTGCAGTAGAATTATAGGTTACTTTGATTTTTTCAAATTGCACTGTAAAATATTTATACAAATTTATGCTCTCTTCACCTTTTTTCTGCTCTCACACTCACACTTTGTTTTTTTGTTTTTTGGCTCCGGGGATTGAACTCGGGTCCTTGCACTTGTGCAACAGGTGGTGAAACCACTGAGCTAAATCCCTGGCCCCACACTTTATAGTATTAGCCTTTTTAATGTTGGCCAAACTAATGGTTTAAAAATACTATCCTCTTGTTTTTACTTGCTTTTCCTTATGTCTAATGAAAGTATCATTTCATGCACTTATTTTCTTTTTGGGTTTCTTTGAATTGTTTGTGCTCTGCATTTTTCTTATTTTGTAACTTGCCTTTTTCATATGATACTATTTTTCTTAATAGGACTTTTTATTTAACCAATTCTGAATCCTAATCCTTCGTTGGTTATTCATATTGCAAATTTTCTTTCAAGTTTTGTGGCTTGGCTCTTAACAAAATTACTATTGTTATTAATTTTTTCATTTGTGACTTGTGTCTTAAGAACTTTCTCCAGGCCCTAAAAGATGTTGTCTTGTATTTGTCCTATAAATTGGAAAGTTTTACTTCTAATATTTAAGTCTTTAACTGGAATTGATTTTTATGTTTGATGTAGCATATAAATGCATATTTTAGTTTTCCTTTAGATTTACTGTGTGTATCTATACCCTTTATTGGATAATCTATGTTTTCCCCATAGATTTTTAAACCACTTTATTGACATATTTCTGAGATAAAAAGACAGTACATAATGAATGTTAAAAAGTTGACAGATTTATAAAGATATACCTATGAAATCATCACTATAATCAAAATAATACATATATGTATGTGTCTCCAAAAGTTTCCTCCTGCATTTATTTATTTATCTTAACACTTAACATAAGGTCTACTTTCTTAGCAAATTTTAGGTATACAATACAGTATTATTAACAATAAGCTCTGTGCTATATAGTAGATCTCCAGAATTTAATCATCTTGCATGACTTAATAATTTGATTAACATTTTCCTATTCATCACTTTAGTCCCTGGAACCACCATTCTACTTTCTGAATCTATGAATTTGATTATTTTGGATTCAAAATAAATGCAGTATTTGTCTTTATGTGTCTGAGTTATTTCATTTAGCATAATGGCCTCCAGGTTCCTCCAAGTTATTTCTTCTTTCTCCTGTTTCATCAATTTTTCCTTTCCTAATTATTTTTTCAATAACCATGAAACATACTATTTTTTCCAATCTGAATCTGAAATTCTTTCGTTTGTCTTGATTACATTTACTCTTACTGGTACTTTGTCATTTCTCTGCATTTACTGATAGTTCAATAAATTTCTTGAATTGTCAATAATAACTTTTCTTCATACCATTAGTTATTCATTATTGCAATAGTAGAACTTATTTTCAGATTGTGTATGTTTGCATAGACTTGAGATGCATTTTTAATTTTAGTGTCTTATATCATGTACCCTAATATTCGAAAATTTTGGACCATATTTCAGCATTGTTATACGTTTTGAGTTCCAGTTAATTATTCATTCATAATTTCTCTAAAAATATACTCACGTGTTTTCTGACATTCCAGGCAGAAATATATCATCTGGATGAGTAAAAAATTGTACAGTGGGCTTCTGGAAGACTTACATTCTTAACAGTTTTAAGAGGAATCATTTTGTGTAGACATCTGAACTTTATTAAATTTGTTGGAAATCACATTCTCTGAAGAGTACCATTACTAATCACTTCAAATGAATAATACTTCTATTTTTTTTCACTAGGATTGATCATTACCATATGCAAGATACATTGTACTGGTGGTACTTTCAATTCTGATAAATAAGAAAAAATAAATCATAACTGAATGCTTGGCTGAGTTCGATGGGACATATTTATGTCACTGGCTTTAGTTCTTAGAAAAATATTCTTGGGCTTGAGACAGTGCAACTTCTGCTCAAGAGTGCTCAAGTTCATTAGTCACCTATATTCTGTCTCCTACAGGCCATCTACTCATGACTTCTTAATAGTTAGTTCCAATATTGAAAAAATAAAGGTAGTTTTACAAATTCTTAAAAACTTTTTTTAAATGTTTGCTTTTCATTGATGATATTTTCCCTTCATTCTGAGTAAATTTTACATTTGGTCAAGATTGTAGCCCTATTTATATCAGCCAATATGATCAATATTTTCTCTTTCAAAGACTACATTTACTTGGCTTGCATAATATTAATATTTTGTATCTTCTAAGTTGTCCCTTTTAAGTGTCTTTTGCTGGTGTCTCCTTAGGATCTAATTTTTTCTTTCAGTGCTGGAGATGAGTTACATCCACAATCCTTTTTTATTTTATTTTGAGAAAGGATCTTCCTAAATTGACTGGTTTTCCTGGAACTTGTGATCCTTCAACTTGTCTCCACAGTAGCTAAGATTGGGCCACTGAGCCCAGCAGAATTTTAATATTTAACATAGGTAGATCTCAGATCTTCTCTTTATCCCCTATCTATATACAAAGTGAGTTTTTGCATTCATAGCTCTAAATCCCATTTAAATGCTGATGATTTAAAAATTACCTAGATTATGTAAAGGTGCAAATCTCCAATGATGAATGTCATTATATTGTATACCTAAAATGTACCAATGATTAGAATGAATAATCGATAATGCAAAATAGGAAGAAAAGGTCCAAAGGGGTAGGGGTAGTGGGAGGGGCAGGGGAAAGGAAAGAAGGGAAAGGAAAAATGATGAGAAATGGAAAAAATGGAAATAAAGTCTTTTTAAAAAGGGAAGGGTGGAGAGGGTGAAGGGAGGGCTAGGAATGGGGGAAAAATAAGAACCAAGATGCATCATGTAAAGTTACAATTCCCAATGAGAAATGTAAATGTGTTGTATACCTACAATGTACCAATAAAAGAATTTAATAAAAAAAATAAAAATTACCTATTAGGCCTACTCCTGAACTTGACTCAAGATGTCATCTGGATATTCAGTAAATATCACAAACTTAATCTTTTCAACACTAAGTGCCTTACTGTCTTCCCAGTTCACACGTATTCTTTCCCTTCTCAGTTCATGGTGATGGGGGAGGGCTTAAGTAAAACATAAAAATAAAAATACCTTTCTTTCAAAATCAACATCTATTTATTGAGCTAAACTGTTTCTTTGTAACGTCCCAAATCTTAATACTTAATACAATTTATGTCTTAATATTTCTCGTGACAGAGAGGAAAGAGAGTGCAGGTGCGGGGGAGAGAGACTATCGTCTGTGGTTAGGGATGTGTATGTGGTCTTGGAGGCATCCGTTAAGATTGATGGTCTAAGATATTTTGCCTAAAAACATTCATTGAATCCCTTGAATCTGACTCTTCTTAAGTTCAGGTTGCTTGCTGCTCATTACTAAATCAACTAGGTACTGAATTTTAACAAATTTGTATGCGACGAGCCTAGAAGAAAACAAGCTAGCCAGGTGTGGTGGCACATGCTTATAATACGAGCCTGAGGCTGGACAGGTAGATCTGAACTCTGTTTGAAATTCTCTGGCTTCAATCTTCAGCACCAAAGGGGAAAAGCATTTTTGAATATTTGGCCCTAATCAGTTATATTTTTAAGCCTAAAACTAAAGTTTGTTTTTTAAGTTATGAAATTTTAAATGTGCCAAATACTATAGTATACATATTTGTAGATGAAAATTAGAAATATGTTATATTGAATAATTTTCATTGTCAGATGTAAGGATGTCTATAAATTCTTAAAAAGATAAAATGTTGCCTTACACTAAATTATACTAGAAAAATATGTATTGAATTTTATAAAGTGTACAAGTAAACAGCATGGAGAATGATGCTTCAATAAATATAATAAATCTTTTTATAGCAATTCTATCTTTACTTTTTGCATTTATAGCTTTAATAGCTGAGGACATAAAAGTTATGTGTATAAAAGACTGAAGTTATCTTTATTTAAAATAATTTGAAATTTTATAGTGGTGATAATTTAACATTATGAGGAATACTTCATCCTTGTGTAACATATAAAACTGCCAATGACATATAACATTTAAATTTTTTACTTTGGTTTTAGCTTTTTGTATGGACATAATTAAAATTCCTTTCTTGTGAAATCCTTTTACCAAGATGCTGAGAGTCCCATATATAAAATAATTTTTTTCACGGAATTGTTTTTAAATTGATGAGTAGAAATGATCATAGTAAATGAACAAGTGCAGTACAGTATATAATCAAATATTATTTGGATATTTAAGTTTATATTTTCAAGTAATTTTGATTTTATAAAATAGGATATCAAAAGGTCTACCTTGAAAGCAATAGAATTTTAACTGGAATAAAATGCACCAAAATGTTAAATCCATTTTTCTCTAGAGGTTATAGATGACTTTTATTTATTTTCTTACTTTTGTATAGTTTCCAGGTGTCTGTAGTATTAAGGTAGTACTCAAAAAATAATAAACATAATTTTAAGGAATTAAATTTTCTATATCTGTGTATTCCTTTTTGTTATTTGAGACAAAGATTTATATTTTTATTTTCTTGACTAGAGTACTAGTATTTAATGACCATTTCAATACCAGTATAGAATATTATTTTCACCTAACTTGTCTTTCAGGCCATTTTTATTGTAATGTACATATCAGAATTCTACTTTTTCTTTCCCCTACAGACAGCCTTTTGATTGATTATCAGTTTACCTTTAGCTTACTACAGGAAGATGATCGCCACCATACTGCCATAAATTTCATAGCAAATCCAGAACAGGTAAAGAAATATCCTTTATAATGTGAATATAGTAATTTCAAAGGAACCAAACTTTCTGTCATCTTTCATTGTTTTTGCTCCTCAGAATTATTACACTTTAGGGCTTCATAGAAAAAGTTAATCCTGTTCTTTCTTTTCATAAAACTTAAATATCCTCGTGATTCAGGGAGATTGTGAGTTTGATATTTTAGTTTTGCTAACAGTTTCTATAATTGACATGTTAGATTACTTGAATACATATTTTAATAATATAATGCTTGTTCATAAATATAACTCAGACTGTTAGTCTGGTTTGAAAATAAAACTGGCCTTCCCCCCAGTAGAACAGTTTATTCTGTGTTACTTCCTATTCTGTAGATATGAAGGAGTGCCCATATTCTTGGGAATACGTTTAAAATTTTAATTTTTAAATGAGAATTTTAGTCATATTTGCTTTTAAATATAATCCTCTATTCACTGATTCTGTTTTTATAATAATGATGTCAGCAACTATATCAGTGAGACAGTATTTAGAAATACTCTACAGGTATTTTAACATTGTAATTCATTTTTCCTTGAAATAAAATTCATCCTTTTACGTATTTTTAGTTGTACAGTTCAATAGCATTAGGTACTTATTTATAATGTTGTATAATCATAACCTTGATCCATCTTCAAACCTTTTTCATCATCTCTGATAGAATAACTTCATTCTCTCCTTTTTCATAGCTCCTGGTACCTTATTCAACTGTCTTTATGAATGTTTTTTTATTCTTGGTACTTCATATAAACATAGTCGTACAATATTTGAATTTTGGTACTTGGCTTGCTTTTTACTTAGATTAATGTTTCTAAGGTTCAACCATGTTGTAGCATCTAATGAAATTTATTCTTTTCCATTGACTTCTTGGTTGTTAATACTAATTCCAAACCATGGGGTTTTCTGAGGCTTGAAGAAATTTAATGTAAGTGGGATATCTCACTCAAATTTTCAGAATAAATTATGTTCCTCCCAAATATTATCAATAGTGTCTTGCACGTTTGTCCAGATTAGCTACAATTCTAGTTTGCTTCTACCATCACTGCCTCCTTTGATGTCCAGAAATCCCTAGTGTTTTCAAATATTTCCACTTCAATTTTTATTTTTCACTGTTTTGACCAGTTGAATTCAAGGGCCTAGACATGTTTTGATGATGAACTGCAGTGAGAAGTGTCACAAAGAATGCTTATGATATTATTTATTATAATTTTCTTTGATTATACACATGTTCACTTGGGAACAATCTCTCAAATTGTTATGAATCATTGATCAATGCTTCCCACTTATCCTATAAGGAAATAATAAATTGTAGATATCTTGATATTTATGCATTTCCTACATATTGAAAATAGGTTTAATTCTAACCCACTATAGATCAATTTTAGTCAGTGCTTTTATGTGAAATATTTCTGGAGTAAGTTTCTAACATGATTTTGTTGAACTCATCCACATCTACCAACAATGTTCTAAATGATTGATTTAATAATTTCTGAGATCATAATGATACTTTGATGATGATAATGAGCTTTTTAGTAATGCTAAATGGTTTTTATAGGTCTTTAGTTATGGTACAGTATATTTTAATAATATCTAAAATTAGAATAGATAGAGGGTGAACAAAAATATTAGTGCTCCCAGGAACTTCTTGAGGTAACTCCTTATATACCCATTTTAGATAAAAGGCCAAATTACAGCACAGAAGATAAATGGGGAAGTTCAAAATCTACCTTGGAGTTTATCACACAGTTTTTTTTTTATTAGAAAACATAGATGACATCTATAACATAAATGACCACTATACCTGTTTAGTTGAAAATTTGCATAATATATAGAGCTTGGGAAATTTAGGACAGGCACAATTAAACCAGTAGACTAAATCATATGTATCCAGTATATTTTCACTTTCTTAACTTTAACATTTTCTTTCTTGGTAGTCAAACAAAAATTTGGATATTTCAATTAATGCATCAAACAACTTTAATCTCAACATTACATGGTCGGTTGGCTCAACAGGTAAAAAATTTTAGTGTCATATCTCCTTCACATGTGTTCCTATATGGAAAATTTTCTAACATGTTTTATTGTTGATCTAAATAAAAGTTTAAAAGTTACATGCCATAATCATTGTTATTGATAAAAATAAGTAATAGTATGAATAAAGTACATTACTTTGTCAACTTTCTTCCTTGCCCAATTAAAATTAGGTAGCTAACAAATGTTATACACCACTTATTTTTAAATAGCTATATTATGAAATGCAGAGATTCTAATTTAGACAGATTACTTCTTTAAAAATTTTTTAAAAATTTATTTATTTATTTATTTTTTACAGATTACTTTTTTAGCGCATGAGAGTGCAATTTCAATTCACCATTAGAGCTATACATTTATTAACACTCCTTTTTACTTAAAAAAGAAATTCTTCTGTCCCAAATTGATAAAAGCAACAACTTGATCTATTATTTTCAAGCTTAGAACTATTTCCCTGCTTGTCAGCTTCAGAGCTGAGGGGAGTATTAGAAACCTACATAAATATATCTTCCACAATAAGGTTTATAAATTGAAATTATTAATTTTTAAAAGTACAATTACGAAGAAATTCAGATCTTTATGTTGAATTATTAATTTGTATGTTTACCTTTCAATACTTTTATTTGGAGGTAGAGTTCTAGAATGTACATGTTAAGAAAGCATAAAAGCTAATTTTAGAATAGATCAATTTGAAATTAATTCAATTACTCAGTATATTAATTTTAATTATTTTTACAGTTCATTAACATGCAAGTTTTGCTAAAATTGTTGGAAATGCTTTGTTCCATTTGATTAACTTCAGTAAATATTTACTGAGTGCCCAATCTGTGTTTAACTTATTGAGCATTTAGCTCATGTTTTAAATTATGGCCTCCCAATTTATTTAAAGTAGTGATGGTTCAATTTGTGGTAAGACAAATAAATTGATTTCTTTTCCAGTTTTAATTGGATTAAGACATGTGAAAATATGGCCTGATTTGTAAAGAAGGAGCTTAGTTTCTGGGCCATATAGGCCTGAATTCCAAAGAGCTTACTGCTATTAGCTATAAATTTTGTACAAATGCTTTAATCTTTCTCAGGATTAGCTTTCAGTTTGAAAAACAGGGATCATAATATATCTAGAGTAGAATTTTTATTAGAAAAGAATATCAAGTCTCAAAGCCAATGCCTATTACATAGCATTTAATCAGTGGCACCATTTTTAAAAGTAATTTTTATATACTGAGTCTGTTTCTATTAAAGTTGTGGGAACCTTATTTTTTTGTCATTCAAAATTGTAAGCATGGATATACTTTGATAATTGTATTTCATAAGACCAATTATAAAAAAATAAGTATATTGTGTTTTTAAATTAATAAAGATCCCTATTTTGTAGTATGAATTATTTATTTTGTTATTATTTACACTTTAGCTGGAACAATATCTGGAGAAGAGACTCCTATAATTTCCAGGACTAACATAAAGGAATACAGGGATAGTTTTTCCTATGAGAAATTTAACTTCAGAAACAATCCTAACATTACATTTTATGTGTATGTCAGCAACTTTTCCTGGCCTATTAAAATACAGGTAAGTGTTAAGAATATTTATTTCTAATGACCATTGAATATTTTCATTATAAATGAATTATGTGTTTCTCCAAAGTGAAACTTGACTTGAACAATACTAAAACATGTACAGACCTTTAATAAAGAAATTATGACTCTCTGTGACAATGAGTGTCTCCATAAACACACTAATACAAATACTATTGAACCAACCAAAAAATGTATTAAAGCTTTCAATGGAGGTTAGATCCTAAAATATGCAGCAAAATTTGAAGCAACTGGGATTTTTGAGTTTTCTGATTAATTTTATTAATTTATCATGATGCACATACTCCCTTATTATTACTCCATTTGAAATTATGTGCCCTATTTTAATAGCCTTATTTTTGCTGTAGTATATAGTGAACATAATGTCTGATACTAAATTCTTAGAATTAGCAATACCTAGACATTTACTTTTTTAAGACCATTGCCTCTTATTATTGGTTTCTTAATAATTGCTCTCTTTGTGTCATGTTTCATTTTTATTTTGGCTAGTGATAGACTACTGAAGACTTCAGATTTATTTCTAAGAAATATTTGGAATATTCTTTCTGTCTGGAAATAGTCTTTCATAAAATGTTGTTAATTGGAATTGGTTCATTTATTTATTTCTTTATGACTGATTAAATTCACATTAATTTATGAAATAGCTCATATATGCCAACCACTATACTAGGCTATTATTTAAAAAAATCTTATAAAGATTTACAGATCATTCCTTGCCTTTTTATATTAATAAATGACAGATCATGTTCTATGACCAGAAATGTTTGCATGTTTTATTTATGACAATTTCTATGTGATCATTTAAGGGAGGAATCAGTGATTTTTAAATCGTATTTTATTTAAAAATTAACATTTAAATAATGGTGACTACTTAGCTGTTCAAAAATATAGTACAAATTTTCATTTAGTAAACTTAGTTATGGGGATTAATTTGTGATTTTTTTTTCATTGAACAGTGTTTGCACAGTTAAAACACTTTTCATGCTATTGTAAATTGTTTCTTTAATTGCTAGAGCAATCTTCTACAATATGGTTGATTTTTAAATATTGAGCTTTCCTCCTCTTGTGGTAAACTCATTTTTTATTTGTAGAAACCCTTACATAGTTTTAGTAGAATTTTCTACATAGAAAATAATACCATTAATAATACATAATTACAGGGTCAGTCTTTCCCAGTCTGTGTGCCTAATTATTGTACTGAGTAAAACTCTCAATATAATTTTGAACAGGAGTGGTAAAAGTTGACATCTTTGTGATGTTCTTGTACTAAGTGGGAAAATATTCAGTCATTTTCCTTTAAATATGATGTTAGCTGTGAGAAGTAGCTCTAGCAGATTGAGGAGATTCTTTATTCTTGGTTTTTTGAGAAGTTTATTTTTTTTTAAACATGAATGTGTGATGAAAATGTCAAATGATTTTTTTCATGTATTGAAATGATCTTATGTGATTGTTTCATTAAGTTTGCTAATAGAATTGAATTACATGGATTCTTCCTATGTTGACAACATGTTCTTTATTTATAATGGTTTTTAATTGAAAAGTAATAATTGCATATATTTTGGGGATAAAGTGTGATGGGGCAAAACATCGAGTTTTGAATATTTAAGCCAACATTGCTATTTAGGGAGAACTCCGCTTGTTCGTGATATATTATTCCTTTCATATATTGGATCCGATATGTAAAATTTTGTTTTCTATCTTTGTAGGGCATATAGTGAGTAGTTTTTTTCTGTTCTTTTAATCTTGCTTGTCTTTGTATCATTGTTCTAATGGCTTTGTAGAATGCACTGGGAAGTATTCCATCCTCTGTAATTCTCCTGTGAATAAATATTTTTTTGCTTAATACTGTATTAGTGGGCCAGGCATTCAGCTCAGTGGCATTGTGCCTGCCTTGCAAACACAAGGTCCTGAGTTTGATCCCTGGTACCGAAAAAAAAAAAAAGAAAAGAAAAGAAAACTATATTAGTTCACTCATTGCTGAACACAACACTCACAACTTAGAGGAGGAATGGTTTAATTTAGCTCATGATTTGAGGGGGATGCACTCAGTTCACTATCAGATGGATCCAAGACAGGAACATTATGGCAGAAGGGTATGATGGAGCAAAGCTGCTAAATTCATGGTTAGGACAGAACACAGCAGGGGAACACAGAGAGGAACTGCTAAGTAGACATACATAATATTCAAAGCCATGTCTCTAAGACCTACCCAGAAACACTCATGGACATTCTCTACTTATCTACTAGGTGTTTCTCAATCCCATGACATTGACATCAGTATTAACCAATGATGACAAATACAAAATTGAATTCATTTGAACATGCAGTTTTCTTTGTTGGAAGGTTTAACTACAAATTTAATCTCTTTAATAGAGTTAGAGATTTTTCTGGTTACCTATTTCTTCTTGAGTGAACTCTATTATTAGTTTTTGTCTCTCAGTTGTGTCCCACCTGTTTTAATCTAATTTGTAGAATGTCTTGGCAACAGTTGTTAATAATAATGTATTTTCCGTAGTAATATCATCTTACCAATTCATCGTCATTTGTTTCTTCTCTTCTTTTTATTCTATTCTAGATTGTCTAGAGATTTATCAATTTCGTTGATTCTTCTTAAAGAAACAGTTTTATTGACATTGTCATTGTTTTCAAATGTCTGTTTCATTCTTTCTTTTGCTTCTTTCCATTATTATTATTTTTCTACTTTGATACTAATATGCTCTTCTTTTCGTACTTCTTATAGTGATATTTGAAGTAATTCATTTCAGATATTCTTTTCTAGTTAAGGGGATTTAGTGCCACTCACTTCATTCTGAATACTACTTTGTAGTACTTCTTTGAACATAATTTTTATAGATTGTTTGGTTCAATTTTTTTTTGTAATTTCCCTTTTGGTTTCCTCCTTAAATGGGTTATTCCAGTAGTAGTTTAATTTCCAAGTATTTGAACAATTTTAATAATTTTATATGTTGTTTGTCTGTAATTTAATCCCAGTAAGGTCACAGAACATGTTTTGTATGATTTGAAACTTTTGTAAACACATCAAGATTCATGAGGCATTGTGTTTGTTAGAGTGACAGTTTTCTAAAGATGCTAATGTCTTAATCCCTAGAGCCTCTGTTTATATTATCTCTAAAGAAAAAGGAGGACTTTTAAAATGTTACTGAAATTAGGACTGTGAGATAGGGAAATTATCCTGGATTACCTGGGTGAGCCCAAGATGATAACGTGCATCCTTAAGAGAATTTGTTTTTTTCTGGCTAGGTTCATTGTTAGAGTAAGATGTAATTACAGAAGAATAGTCAGAGAGAAGTAGCATTTCTGGCTTTGGACATGGAGGCATGGTGCTATTAGCTCAGGAATGTAGTTTGTAGAAGTTGTAAAAGTCAGTGAAGCAGATTGCTCCCTAGTACCCGTAAGAAGAAGAACACAACTCTGTTGAGGCTGGGTTTTAATCCAGTGAGATCCATGTCAGATTTCTAACCAACAGAACTGTAAGGTTAACTGTATAGTATTTTAAATCACTAAGATTGAGGTAATTGGCTATCACAGCAATAGAATATGAGTACCTAGTATATAATCTACTTTGGTAAATGTTCCTTGGATGAAAATTTAAACCTAGATGCATTTTGCTAATGGCTAGAGTGTTTTATATCAACTGTGTTAAATTGGTTCAAATTTGTTCAAATCATCTATGTCCTGATTAATATTCTATTTTTATGTCAGTTGTTAAGAGATTGATATTAGAATCTTTGTAATTGTGGAGTAGTTTATTTTTTCCTTTTTATTAGTCACTCTTTTATTACTGGGACAAGCTACCTAATTTCCCACAACATGAAGGAAGAGGGGATTATTTGGTTCATGCTTTCCAAGGATTCAGTCCGTGATTGGCTGGCTCCAAGGCAGAAACAACATGGTGGAAGGATTTAGCAGGGGAAAGCTGTTCAAGCTATGGCAGCCAGCAAGCTAAGAGAAAGCATGAGCCAGAGTGAAGACACCAACCGAAGGCCGGCCTCCTGTGAGCCACTTCCTCTAACTAGGCCCCGTCTCCTAACAGCACATTTGACTGTCATTCACCATAGATTAATCCACTGGTGAGTATAGCACCACCATGAACAAATCACCTGCTGAAAGCCCCACGTCTGAACACATGAGACTTTGAGGGAACATTTTAAATTATGATCATCACATCATGTAGCTCTAAGAGATTTTACTTCGTCTGTTTTGAACATCTGTTATGTAGATGTATATGTATTTAACATTTTTTCTTCTTGATAAATTAATTTCTTAAAGTCTTTATCTTTGGGAAATGATCTTCTGTGTTCATAGTAATTTTTTTCACTAAATTTTATTCTGCCAGATTAGTATATGCAGTTCTACTTTCTTTTGATTATTGTTACAATGATACATCATTTTCCATCCTTTAAATCTATTTGTAGTTTTATACTTAAAGTCATTTTGGGCAGGATATAGTTGTGTCCTTTGTCCAGTCTTAAATTGTGTATGTTTGATGGGCATACATTTATCTCTCTGTATTTAAAACTAACAACTTGCTATTTGTTTTCTACTTTTATTTCTTGTTCCTTGTTCCTTTTTTCTTTTTCTGCCTCAATTTAAAATATTTTTATGACTTTATTCTTCTCTTGTGGTAGAGTTAATTTCCTTTGAAATAATTTGATCATTTCAAGGTATGTTTTTGTGCTTTGTTAGAGAAGAAAAAAACGACATTTGGTCTTTTCCCTCTGAGGCTTTCCCTTTCTGGGTATTCTTTTTTTTTGTACCAGGGATTGAGCTCTGGACCTTGCGCTTGTGAGGCAGGCAGCAGAACCACTGAGCTAAATCTCTGGTCTTCTGGGTATTCTATTACCTGTGAATTATAGTGTTTCTATTCTATTAGGTAGGACACAGGTCATTCCCAATCCTATAGGAGTTTTAAGGATTTTTCTCTCTGCCCATTTTAGATTTCCTTTTCTTTCC